CCCTCGGCCCGGGCCCGCCGCTCCAACGCTCCAGGAGCTTGAACGAGACGCTGCGATACAGCGGGGTCCGGGGCGCCCCGTCCGCCATGGTGGCGGCACTCACTCTGGGGGGGCTGGCCTCGGGGAACCGCGGCCAACCCCCCCTACGCTTCCGCCCCGAAGGATCGCAGCGACCGGGGTCCCGAAGGCCTGGGTCCTACAGCCGTAGTGCGGGGCGACGGGGGGGTGGCTGCGGGAGAGGGCGCAAAGACTACAGCAGAGCTTAATCTGCCGCGGCTCAAGTTTCTGCGGACGCGGGCAGCTCCGGCTCCATCCCGCGCGGTCCCTCCCGCCTCAGCGCGGATTCCCAGGCCTGGTTCCCGCACCAGCTGGTGCGACCCGGAGCATAGCGCGCGGCCTGGCCCGGTCCGGATCCCTTCCTCGGCTCTGCGCCCGCCAGCCGGCCCGCCTGCACTCGCGCTCCCGCTCCAGCTCCCGTTCCCTCCCTCTTGGCTGCTCGCTCCTCGCTCCCTTTTGTTGCAAATAAACTTTGTGGCAGAGGAAAGGGGGCGGGGGGCGGGGCCTCGAGCCCAAAAGAGGGGGTGGGCTCCCCGCGCGCACAAGGCTGGGAATCGCTAGTAGGAGGGAGGGAACCAGGGAGGAGCCGAAGGAGAAACAAGACTGCCTGAGCACATGCAGACCCATGCGACCCTTAGGGCCCGAGCTGTCCCCCAAGGACTTGCTTCGACACACACGAGCTCTGAGTGTGGTCAGCTCCGCGGACATACAGCCAGGGCGGCGCACACACTGCGATTCAGCTCCTTTCGCGCGGAAACATGGGGACCAACATGGCAACCTCGGACCCACAAACTCACTCGTACACACCGACACTCAGGTACACGGCTCTCCCAGCCAGGAAAGGGGAAGGGCTCGCCGCCAGGGGGAGCACTGGGCGCCGCAGGCGGACTCGGGCTCTGGCCCGTCCTTGTCCCGCCCCTTCACCCGCCCATGCCACGCCCTTTATTCGGCCCTCGGAGGCGAATCCCGTTGTAACTGCTGCCAGGTCCAGCCCCTCGCAGCCCCAAACGCCCCGCCCTCTCCTACCTCTGTGGCCTGTCCAGCTCTGACCGTCTGCCAAAACTGTCCACGCCGCTCCTAAAGTCCCACCCTTTATGGCAGCGCTCCCGCCCGCTCTCTTGTTTCCAGCTGCCCGCCCAGCGCCGCGTCCCCTCCTTACCCAGTTCTTTGGAGTAAGTGGCTCTTGCACCCTCTACCGGCCAGAGTTGCCCCTCTCTCTCTTCGGAACCCCGGACTGATAAAATAGCACTCACCACCAAAAAAACGGAGGATTGGAAAGACTTCACTTCTTTTACTTCCTTTCAGTTCGCTAGTTCCTGCAGGAGCCGTTTTAAAACTAAGTCCTTCTTAAAGCACACTGCCCTTCCTTTGGCCTCATATACAAAAGGAGCTTCGACAGGAACGCCCTTGACTTGCCAATGCCAAACCTCCACTCCTACCTGCGGTTGCTCCACCCTCATGACAGGGAAGGTGTGGGTCATTTCTGCTTCTAGCTGATCCAGCCCTTGATTTCCCCTCCCACCTCTGCTCCCGGGTCGGGCAAGTCTCGCATTGTACCGGATACTGGGGCCTTCCCCTCTCCCATCTGCCTCTGCTAGGTCCCGTTCATTCTTCTGGGCCCCGCTTTGTGCGGGACAGCTCCTCTACATCTGAGTGAACGAATGGGAATTTATGGAGTGCCTTCTGTGTATGGGTAATATTATTTCATTTATTTTATTTAGCCTTCGAACCACCCTTGGTAGTCGATATTATCGCCCTTTCTACAGGTCATGAAGGAGAAGTAACTTTGACCAGTGTCAAAGTCAGGAAATGGCAGCTCTTGCTAAGACTCAAATTTGGATTTTAGGTGCTTCAAACACCATGCTCTTCCAGACAGCCTTCCCTAGTCCCAGATTCCTGATGAAGAAAGGAGTTCTTTCTCCTTTGAGCCCGCAGCAATCTCCTCCTCCTTGGGCCTGCGCTCACCCTCCCCAGGAACAGAAGATCCTTTTGGTCTCCTCAGCCCCAGGCCTGTGGCTGGGCCTAAGATAGGAGGTCCTGGGAGCAGGAGGCCCTTGTCCAGATGAAAGGGCAGAATGGTAGACACTCAGGGATTGCCTGACTGCCCGGAGAGAGGTAGGGCTCAGCCAGCACCCTGGGCCCTGCTTGCTGCTTCCCTTGGGTTGTGGGAAATTGCTGTAGGGAGAAAGCTCTTCCTTTTTGAGTTGAAACCAACCTCCTGTAAGTTCCAGCTTGGTTTCAGCTCTGCCTCAAAGGGACCAGAACATTTCTCCCTCTTCACTGGGAAATCAGTGAAAAGGAAGAGAGTCCTGCCTGGCCTAGTGCCTTTCTGTCCTTGTCTTGCTGTGTGACCTTGGGTAAATCTCTGTACTTCCCTGGGCCTCAGCTGTCTCATCTGAAAAGTGAGGAGTGGGTTTAGGGCTTCCCCAAAGGTGCCTCTCTTTGACCCTATTTGAAGTCAGACTCTTTTCTAGAGTTTTATTTCTATTCTTTTGGGGCAGTTTTAGTATGGTTGGGGGGCAGGGACCCTCATCCCAGGAGTCACTGCTTTCCTCTGATAATGATGCCCCTTCGTTTGTAATTTGTACTTTCCCAAACTCTTTCATACCCTGTCATATTCTGTGTCCACATCACTTCTGGGATAGAAGTTCTTTTTCCCATATCACAGATGGGCAAACTGATGGAGAGGAGTGGAGACTCAGGACACAGGTTCCCAGCATCCTACAGCTTGGCCATGCATGAGGTGAGCTGGCTTGGGGCTTTGGATCAGGGGTCCCCATGGTGGAGAGGGAGAGTCTTTAAGGATTTAGGCTGGGCCTCCCCCCAAAGGGAAGCTCACACAGTCAGAAGGTGCCTTGGCTGCTTACAGCACCTCATGAATACCCCCACCCCCAGCCCCTTCTGATTTATGATAAGACAAAGTCATCTGCCTGGCACAGAGGGACCTGGGTGTTTTTAGCCCTCAAAAGACTCATCTAGGAGGGGGCTGGGAGTGCTGGGCACCAGGGTGGAGAGAAGAACATGGTGGTGGGAGTCTAGAGCCGGGCCTAATGCAGGCACCTTCACAGATATGCTGGGTGACCCTAGCAGGTAACTCTCACCCTTTGGGTCTCAGGCTCCTCACCCGTGAAAGAGGAATGAAAACAACTTATCTATCCAGCGAGTCCTGGCAACTCAGCGAGATCAAGGCTGTAGAATCCCTTGGAGAAGTCAAGATGGGAAGGTTGTGACGGTCACAGTCATGGCCAGTGATGGGCCTTGAGTACTTAAGAGGAAGAAAGATGAGGAGCGAGAGTACCCCAAGAAAAAATGAGCTCCAGGAAGGAAATCTGGCTCCTGACTCCATTCCTGGCTCCTGACTCCATTCCTGGCTCCTATTAGAAAATGACCTGAGATTGTCCCGTCCCTTTCCTGTACAATTAGACCTCAAGCACACAGAATTGGATTATTTATAATCTTTTGTGCATGACACATTCTCACCAGTTATTTGACTCCCGCCAAACAACAAACCAACTAAGACCTTTACAATGTCCTACATCTCATTATATAGTCCCCCCACCACTCCTGCTGCCCCACCACCCAAGATAACCATCACCTCCGGTGTTCAGCATTCTCTTGCTTTTCTTTTTATACAGTTCTATTGCAACTGCATATTTCTTTAAAGTATATGTTTTCATTTTAATTGTTTTTAAGTTTACGAAAAGCACATCTTGCTGTATATATTTTTTTGAAATCTCTTTTTACTTAATATTATACTGCTAAGATTTATCCATATGGTTGCATATCATCAGTATGGTGCATTCCGGCTGTGTGAAATATTCCATTGTGTGGATATAGCATAGTGTATTCATCCACTCTCTTGTGGATGAGCATTTGAATGTTTCCAGGTGTTTGCTCTTGTGAACAGTGCTGCTCTGAGCATTTTGTACACTCCAGGTGCACATGCACAGAAGTGTTCGTGGCAACGGGCCATGCGACTACTTAACATGAACATGAGGAGGCATTGTTAAGATAGAATTGAATATCTCTTCTATGTTTTTTTCTTATCCGTGTTTTATTTTCTGTAAAGTGCCTGTTTGTGCTGCTTGCCCATTCTTCTATTGGGTTATAATACTTTTTTGTACTTTATGAAAATTCTGCCCTAAACTTTCCATGCTCAGTACCCCTGGTGGCTTAGGGAGGGCTTATAATATTACCATTATTTTATAGGTAAGGAAACAGAGGCTCAGAGAAATGATGGAGCTTGTTCAAAGCTACAGTGTCAGTAACAGACCTGCACAAAGTTAATGCCTTCTGAGGCCATTGGGCTCAGCTAAGAAACCTCTGTCCCTCAAGCAGGATCAGGGCCCCCATGGTCTCCAGCATCTCTTGACTATTTCATGAACTTATTGTCTCCCTAGGAGACCTTCTTTGCCCCTGGCCCTCTTTATGTTTTTCTGAACTCTCCTCCCCAACTGTAATGATCCAGATCTGTAAGTGTTTATTTCATTATTGCCATTTTCCTCCATCAGACTGGGAGTTCCCTGAGGGCAGGGACCCACTGCCTAGCATGATGCCTAACATACAGTAGGTTGTTTACTGGAGGAACTGTCTGTTTCCTTGTCTGCACCCTAGCCCCCTGGATTCCCTTTGAGATTAGGGTCTGGGTCTGTATGCCTATCATCATCTCCGAAGAGCACAGAGAATGTTTGTTGAACAAATGAATGAAGGAGAGAGGAGGCAGCCTCATCCATTTCTAGGACAGATCCAAAGCCCCTGGGCTTTTCTTGCTTTGAATGGAAGTCTCCCCAAATACAAACCCTGGTTCCTGCCTCTCTGGCTCCCATATCCTTGACTCTGCCCTGCTGGCTTCCTGTCCTCAACTGCCAATAGCCAACACTCACAGATCTCCTGTCCTGAAAGTACCTTCTTTGAGCCTGGCCTTCCTCAGAGCCTTCCTCTCTTAACTTCTCCACCCATTACCTTCACTTCCTCTCCTCCATCCCCTTCCACTCTCCCTTCCTCCCTCGCCCAACTCTACTGCCCTATTATATCACCATCATTCAGAGACCTCCATGCTTTGAACTCTACCTCTCTGGTTCCTCCTCCTCCCCAGTCCCCTGATGTTGGAGTTCCAGGATTCTATCCAGACCCCCCTTCTTCTCATTCTCTCCCTCAGGAGGCCCATCTACCCCTCAGATTCAAGCTCAAAGTGGAGTGACCACTCCTCAGGCTTTGCACCTTTTCCAAGAAGCCTTTCTGGTTGTCTCCAGACCCTGTTGACTCTTAGCTCCCACCCAGGTGGAGTCCCCTACCCCAGTACAGGACACCGCCTGGGCTCCACCTAGGTCCACCATCTCAGTATTCGTTTTGGCTGTGGGTAACAGGCCCCCAAAACTGGTGGCTTAAAAAAGATAGACCCTTACTTATCTCTCATGCAAAAGTCCATATTTAACTAGCCCCAGGCTGGAATTGCCAGAGATCCAAGCTGCTTCCAGCTTTCTGTTCCACCAGCCACAGAAGGCACTCTTGTCTTCCTGATCCGAGATGGTGCTCTAGCAGTCACATTCATATTGTAAGTGACAAGAAGGGAGGGGAGACAAAGAACAGATACCGCCTGTTTCTTAAAGATATTTCTCTTACCATATTAAACTGTCTCAGGGTACTTTGCTTATATCCCATTGGCCAGGAATAAGTTACCTGGCCATACCTAGCTGCAAGAGAGGCTGGGAAATGGAGTTTTCATCTTGGGAAGCCATATGTCCGGCTAAAAGAGAATTGATATTGTGGTTGCCACTTAGCTGTCTCTGTTACAACTTCCTAGGGGTCCCCAGTTCCTGGGACCGGCTGGGGCAGGTGGGCACTTGGAAGGCAGATGAAGAAAGGGAAGGGAAGGGAGGGAGGGAGGGAGGCAGGGGGATCTACTATTTGGGTTAGAGAAAGGCTGTGTGGCCTTGGAAAGTCAGTTTCTACATCTGGGCCTCGGTTCCCCCTTCTATAACAGGAAGTATTATAAAGATTAAGTGAGAAGATGTGTGTAGAGCATATTGCATGATGCCTGGAAATTGCAGAGCCCAGCAAGTGGTCACTGCTGTCATTGTTGCAGGTCCCCAGTGCTTCCTGGATTGGCAGCTAACCATTATTCTCTAGCCCTGCCAACTCTCCAGCCTCATCTCAGGCCACAACCCTTATCCTTCCTCCAGTAGCTTCCATGCCTTTGCCTGTGCTGATCTTGGTACCAAGAACACTCTTATCTTCTTTCCTTCAGTCTAGTTACATCTATCCTTCAAGACCCACCCTGCACTGCTCTATCCCATGGGAAATCTCCAACCCATAGAATAATCACCTTAGACCCCTTCGAGCCCTCATGGTTCCTCTGCTCCTCACCATACTCCACATCTACAGCCTGGCCTGTGTTCTCTCTGTTCTCACTCCAGCAAGTAGACATCCCCGGGGTAAGCCCTCAACCCTCGCCCCATCACTGAGTATGCTCTGGTTAAAATGAGGAGGGAGAAGGGGGATGAAGAGGAGGAAAGAGACAAAAGGAGAGAGAAGAAAAGGAGCAATTCAAGCCCCCCAAATGGCACTTGGAGTCCCTGGTACTGGCATGTAATAAATGATTTTTCTTTAGAGGAACAGATGGAACTCATGGATTATGGCACTTGCTCTCAAGAAAGTGTGCTGAGTTGTTGTTTTCTTCTTGAAAGACCAGCTGCCTCCCAGGTAAAAGAGAAATTGTGGCAATCCCCTGCTTAAAGTTTCTTGTTTAGAAACCTCCTATGATGATTTCTAGAGACAGACACTGTAGAAAGGTGTGTGCTAAAAAGGCAAAATCACTATAAGAGTAACATTTATTGCATGCTTACTATGTTCCAGGCATTGTTTAAGTGCTTTGCACATATTAATTAATTTAATCCTCGCAAAAACTTTACAAGATAGATTTCATTATTATTCCCATTTTACATTTAGGGAAGTTAAGGTACAAGGAGGTTAACTAACTTGCCCAGAACAACACAGCTAGTAAATGGTAGAGCCAGGATACTCACTCAGGTGGCCTTGCTCTGAAATCTGTAACCTCTATTCTGCTTTGCAAAGGGAAGCTGGAAATGGAATTTACCTGTGGCCCACAATTTTCACTCTTAGAAAAGTAACCACAAGGTCACAGTTCTCAGTAGTCTCCTGAGACCGTCATTTGGGTTTCTATAGGGGCTCAGCCTGGGCCATGGACAGAGGCCCTCCACCTTCTGCTCTCCCTCTCGCCCACTCCTCCATCACAAGCGACCAAAGAGATTGGTCTCAGGACTTGGAACAAGATGCAGTGTGGGTAATATCTGTACTGCTAGGCATGGCATGGCGCTATATAGGGAATAAGAACCATCCTCGGTCTTCTGACATTCCCAAATTTCTATCTTACTTTGGTCCACAAAATAAAAGTTCCCTCTGTCCAAATTGTCAGCCTCTCCAGCAAGGGTACTTGGAATGGATTCTCAGGGTGGGCTGGGCCTGGTTTCCCCACTCCCCAGCTGCAAGCACACCTCTGGCATTACTACCGAGTTTAGCTTCTCCAGAGTCCTTCTCTGAATGCCCCCATTGCACAACAGCTTTGGAGATTGGGCAGGCTAAAAGGAAAATATTGGATCAGTTATACAGTCCTTCCCCTCCTTGCCTCGTCCCTCTGTCCATTCCTCTTCCTTTCTAAAAAGGAAGACTCTCCTTGCCATCTTGGTTCTATCACGTACAAGGTCTGTGGTATACCAGCAGCCAAGAGCAGGCCCGATTGTTCCACAGAAGGAAAACTGAGATTTGGGAGGAGGGAATAAGGCCTGCAGGAGAAGTTAGAGGGGAGGAGGGGCGGTGGGGAGAAGAGATAAGGAAAAAGCAGACATGATGGGGACCTGCAGAGGTGCGGCTGAAAGGAGAGGTATGCAGGTGAGGAGAACTTGGGAGGGCCTTCCCTGGTATGATTCCCCTTTGCTGCGTCCTCGGGACCTTCAGTAAAGATGCCTTTCCAAGACTTTTTAAGGGTCAGGTTTGTGTTTGAGATACCTCCATATGAGATGGCCTCCAGGTAGCCTTCCAGGTACCTGCAGGCCAGAATGATGGAGCTGAGAGGGCAGGAGAGGAGCCCAGTGGGAGTAGACTGTCTTGAGACTGGTTGGCAGGCCCGTGACCATGGGACCTGCATGTTTTAGCCTCCTGGGATGGCTCTGAGTCTCCTCAAGCTGCTGATTTCTCCTTTTAGAATGAAGCAATGTTGAATGGTTATTTCCCCTAATGTAGGGGTCCTGGTGGAGGTGTCCCAGATATCAAGGACACCCTGAGCCTGCAAGAGGCACATTTGAAGAGGTGGGCAAAGGAAAAGTAAGGTCTGGGGCTCTTCCTGGCATTTAATGCTTTGGTCCCACCCAGCTCCTTTTCTTGTCACCTGCTTTCTCACACACCCAACTCCCTGAGCTTAGTTGAAACTCACTGTTGCTTTATGGCCAGGCTCAGTGCATCTCTGCCTCTTGGGTTTTGTGTGCATAGAGCCTTCCACCAGGAGCTGCCTCTGCCTTTCTGTTTTTTGGATTCTTCACCACCTCTGCTAAGAGGCACTCTCTGATTTCTTCCTCCACAGCTTGGAGCACCTGGCACACTCCTGCCATTCTGTGGAGAGTGGCCATGGGACAGCTCTTGTTTCTAGGCTTTCATACACAGGAGGCCACATGCCCTCTACCCCAGCTCTCTGCCCATCTGCCCTATAGGCAGAACTTAGCATAAGGCTGGCCCAGGCTGCACTAACTTGCTCCCCGCTTCTGTTTACAGAGCTCCTACTCAACCTTCAGCATCTGGTTTGGATGCCCCACCCTCAGAGAGCTCTTTCCTGACTCCTTGGACTGGGTCATGGGGATCCTCTGGGCACCCAGTCCCCCTAAGCCATACTTCCCTCTGTCACAACTTTGACATCATTGTCAGTATTTCCAGTAGTTGGGAGCCTGTATGGAGCAGGTCTAGGGCTGGTTCTTCTGGGTCCCCAGAACCAGACCAGGCCTAAACACAAAGTGTCAGTAAAGGTTTGCTGAATGAATGGAACATAACACTCAGAGAGCTCATATTTATCCTTCAAAAACCAGCTCAAATATCTCTCCCCAGAAGGTCTCATTTCCCCCTCCCATCTTTCCTCACTCCTTTTTCGGTGACTCCAAAGCATGCAGCATGCTCCTCAATTACAATACATGTCACACTATATTTTTGTGAGCAGCTTAACATGGCTTCCCAAATTCTCCATGGCTGACTGGGACCTTCTGGAGAGCCAGGCTCAGGCTTGTCTGTCTCTGTGCCCACAGGACCTGATCCAGTAAAAGGGCTCAATAAATATTGTTGCTGAGATTTTGAGGTCTATGAGGGACCTCATTCCATGCCCAGCTGAGCTAAGCTCTAATTCTCTGCATGGTTTGAGTTGATGGGGCTTCTGGTACATCGGCCACAGTGGCAAACACTATGGCTCTCCAGGCCCCACGTGTCCTGCTTTGGTGGAATCAGTGACCCTGCCGCTGCCATTTGACTGTGAGTTTCTGTAGCAGCTCATGTGGCCGCTGGCGGAACTTCTTCTGGGTGAAGTAGAAGAGGATGGGATCCAGCACACTATTGGCACTGGCGAAGGGCCGTGTGCCTTTGTAGGCGGCTGCAAAGGTCTCTAACACGGGGCAGGGGACACCGGGTGTAGAGCGCACTGCCAGGTAAGCTGTCTTGGTGATATGGAAAGGTAAGAAGCTGATGGCAAAGGCAGCTGCCACCACCACCGCCATGTGGGCTGCCTTGCTACGCCGCTCCTGGGCCACAGGTCCTGCTGGGCCATCCTGGCGGCACAGACGGCGGGCCAGACGGCAGTAACAGGCCAGCAGGGCAGCAAAGGGCAGCAGGAAGCCGATGACCGTGAGGGCCATGCCATAGGGCAAGTAGCGGGTGGCCAGGGCGGGTGGGCTTAGGTCGTAGCAGACGGTACGGTTACGCTGGATGCCTGTGGCAGCAAAGAAGGCTGTGGGTAGGCATTGGGTTGTCACAGCCAGCCACACAGCCCCACACACTAGCCAGGCAGCCCGGCGACCCCCACGCTTGTGCCAGGGGGCCAGAGGGTGGCAGATGCCCAGGTAGCGCTGGAAGCTGATGCAGGTGAGGAAAAGGATGCTGCCGTGTAGGTTGGCATAGAAGAGGAAGCGGATCAGGCGGCAGGTGAGGTCGCCAAAGGGCCAGTGGTCACCTTGGGCATAGTTGTAGATGAGCAGGGGCAGGGAGCAGGCATACAGCAGGTCAGCCAGGGCTAGGTTCAGGGTGTACACGGCTGTGCGGGTCAGGGCCCGGCGAGATGTGCAAATCTGGGCAATGACACAGGCATTCAGTGGTAGGCCGGCCACCAGAACCACTGAGTACACAGGTGGCAGTAGCAGTTGCTTGAAGTTTTCTCGGTAGACACAGGTGGTGGGTGGTGAGCCCAGAGATTGGTTTGTGTCAATGTACCACTCCATGGCTGCCTGACCAGGCTTCCTACATCTGGAGAGGCTGGGGAAGCAACACACAACCTGTCAGTGACCACACTCACTAACCACCCAGTAGGCCCCTGCCCCTCTAGATCTCCCCACCTAAGCTATCTCTGATACTCATCATGTCATGGAAGACCCACATAGCTCTCACTTCAAGGAAACCTGGACTACAATAAAGATCGAGCTTGGAAGAAATGCAATTTACTTTTTTTTTTATAATATTCATGTTCTACCAGTCTTCCTGGTGAACTTCTTTTCATTCTTCAAAATCTTAGTCACATTTCTCTTCTGTAAACGGAGATTGATGGACTTTGGTTTGAACCCCAACTCTGCTACTTAGTAGTTATGCGAGCTTGGGCTAGTGGCATACCTTTTCTGAGTCTCAGTTTTCCCATCTGAAAAATGCGGGAATAATGCACCCACTTCTCAGGACGTCATGACGTTAGAGGCACTATATCATGCTACGCAGGGCTTCCCTGGGCTCCCTGGTGTTTGAAGATTGTAGTCATGGCTGGCCAGTCTGTCTGTCTCTCCCCCACAGACCAGGAACCTCTTGAGAAGGGCTAGGTCTAGTGCTTCTTTGTGTCTAGAGCCCAGCCCAGGGTCCCAGGGTAGAGAGGGCCCAGTAACTCAATTAAACAACATGAACAAAATGTCCACACACCATGAGCTCACCAAGGACAGCGCCCACCTCCTCCGCCTGGACTCCACCTTTCAAAATCATGTTTCTTCTTTCGCTTGCGGTTTTCTTATCTGTAAATTGAGGGAAGCCGGTGATTCAGAAGTTCCCTAAGCCTTCTTCTAGTTGACTTGAGGCTACAACTGGTCTAGCAGAGCCACTGAAGTCACAGCGCTCCCTGGTGGCTAGAGTGAAAACAGCTTCCCTGAAGGCAAATCACAGAGGAAGGTCAACAGCTTACTTTATAGGGAGGGAAATCCAGACAGTGAGGGGTGATGACTGCTCAATCTTAGTGAGTTAGAGGCAGAGCCAGAGCATGAGCCCAACTGCATGACTCAGAGGAAACTTAATGTAGCCCATGGCCATGGAACGTAGAGGTTACAAGCCCAGCTTCAGAGAACCAGGTAGGCCTGGTTCAAATCCTTGCTCTCCTTCTTCCATGCTGTTCAACCCAGGACATGTCACTTGCCTTTTCTGGGCCTGTGTTCTCATCAGTAAAATGTATCAGGCTGGGTTTTGTGGGGAGCCAGTAGCACAAATGCCTTAAAGGGTCCCCTGATGTTGTAAGTCTGACTTCTTGATGCCCACCTCCCACCTAGCATTTCCACATTTACTGTTATCTAGGGAGAATTCACATTTAAATCCAGTAGGCCAGTAAGACAAAGCCATCAATATAGTGAGTCAAATCCTTCCCCTCCCTATTTTAGAGGTGGGAGAAACTAAGGCCCAGAAAAAATATGCACTCAGAAGGTGATAGAAGGTTGAAGCCGAGTGTATGGGCTCTGGTCCAGAAGTCCAGGTTCAAATCCTCTGCCATATGTGAGCTATGTGGCCTTAGGCTCATCACTGAACCTCTGTGCCTCTGTTTTCCCATCCATAATATGGGATAATTTAGCACTTGCTTCATAGGGCTGTTGTGAGGATCAGTCAGTGCCTGACAAAGGGCAAGTGTTAGCTGCTTTTAATGTGAATGTACCAGCTAAGTAAAGTTATGAGATTTGTAAAAGTTATATTAAAGGAAACATAACTCCCCACACCAATATTTTCCAACTTAAAATTTGATTTGGATGAAGATATTTTACCCAGATTCTGGGCAACTGCAAAATGATGATGTTTGGATTCTCTGTGTTCCACACCTTATATCCCCTTTAGTTACCAAAGATTCTTTGTGGGGCTTCAGCCCATGAGTTCGGAGTGCTGGGTGCTCAGCTGACTAGTTAGGCACAAGGGGGAAGCCAAGGAGGAAGCACAGCAGTCCCGCCTTTGTAATAAGGAAGCCAAGATTAGTACAGGCAAGAGAAAGTTCATTCATTCATGTCTTCATTCATTTCTTCGGGCCATTCTTTCATTCATAAACTCATTCTCTGGTTTTCACACGCCAGGCATTTAATTAATATTTATTTCTTGATGGATGCATGAGGGCACAGTATATAGATATAGATGTAGGTAGATAGATACAGATACAGAAATACATATATACATATACCTATACCTATACATATATATCTGCTTGTCTGAGGGGGTAGACCAGTGCAAGCCAGAGGATGGAAGAGACTTTTCAAAGGAGGATGAAGGTTGGAGCAAGACCCTAATGGTTGAGGAGAGTTTCTGTGGGTAGACTGGGGTGTGAAGCCCCCTAGGGTGTCCCCAGGTGAGGAGGAAGGTGGAGCAAGCAGGGCCTAAGAGGAGAGCAGTCTGCTGGGGCAGAGGGTCATGGTGAGGAGGAGGAAACTGGTGGAAGGAACTGTGCTGTGCCCCTGAACCCTCCTTTGGGAGGCCTGCTGCCCTCAGACACCACCCCAGAGACAGCGCTCCACCTTAGATGACTGGAGACTCCAGTCGTTTTCTGCCCCCGACTCCCTGGTGAGATGGGTACACTTAGAAGGAAGCAGAGCTCCACGAGGGGATCCAGGGCAAACCTTCAGGTCTGCTCCAGGAAAGGCAGGCCTGGCTGTCACCCTGAGAACATCCATTCTGCCTTCTGAAGACTTAGGAGTTACTCTTCCAGGTCTTGGCAGGAGTGGGTTCTGAGGAAGGGCTTGCTTGGCCCCTGCCACTGGGCAGCAGATGACATTAGCTCCCTCTAGCTCTCACAATCTGTCATCTACTCTTGGGCCCCGAGCCCTGGACCAGTTCAGACTCCAGCCTCTTCCTGGGCTACAGC